GGCTTAAAGTCTTTATTTCCCCTTCCTTCCCTGGCCAGGTCCCCTCTGGTAACCTTTGGGTATGAAAACCCGTCCCTGTCCTTTTCCCTCTTGTGACAGACTAAGGTCCCTCAGCAAAGTGCAGGGCACGCCGCAAGCGTTCAAACGACGGAAGGGGCGAGCATTACGAACGGTGTGGCCGCCTCGACGGCTTTATTACCGCCAAGGGTCACGGAGGGGCGCCTCCCAGGTCCAGTCGCCCGGGGAGAGGAGCCCGCTGGGCACCCCGACGCCCACCTGCTCCTCCAGCCGCTCAATCTCCAGCTGGTTCTTCTCCTCCTCTTCGTCGTACTCCCATTCGTATTCCCCCGGGGAGCTCTCCGCTGAAGAAGCCATGGCGTACTCCTCATCGCCATCGCTCTCGCTCTCGCCTTCCTCCCGCGGATCCCACGCCGGCCCCGCGGCCTTGCACGTCGCCGCCGCCGCCGCCGCCCGCGACAGCACCTTCCGCCGCGCCGCTGGGTCCTTCACCTTGTCCTCCTCTCCCTCCGTCTCGGCCCCAACTTGGGGCCCAGCCTTGGACTCCACCTCCGGCTCAGCTGCGGAGGAGGCAGCCGCCGTCGCCATCTTGAACCTCCAGGAACGTGGGGTCCTTCGTTCGGTCGCCGAAGACCGCCTAAAGCCGGGGCTGCCCGAAGCGTGCGCCTGTCCCAAACCTCGGTGTTCTCGCCACCAAAAGGAAAGCTACTACGTCAGGTGAGAAGGGGTGAGGCTCTAAATACGCGCAGCTCCAATCACTTTGGTAAATTTGTGAAAAAAGATCCCGTCAAAGAGAAATTCATTAACAGGACACGTCCGGACGAAGCGTTGGGCAGTCTTGGGGTCTTCGCGCCGGAAGTGGAGGCCCTAGAGGAAGTCGTGGTGGGAGCGTGCTGATGGGCAAAGAGTTCACGCCATCTTGAGTGGGTCAAAGTGACTCTGGGCACAAATGTATTATTATTACACTGCCTATGGTGACCTGGCGCGTGGTCCACTGTCCACAGCAACGCAGACAAAGCCAAGGCCTTGGGAACGATCGGTTGCACTATTTTGTGCTGTTGTGTACAGGGCCGCTATGGGTCGGAACCGACGGGCAATTCACAACATCCATCTCTATGGAAGCTGACTGTCACATCTTCCACGCGCTGAGCGCACCCACCTTTGGTTAGCAGCTGAGCGCTTTACCCGCTGCGCTACCCCGAGAAGCGCCTATTAGGTGTTAGGTGCACACCGGAGTTTTCCAGTCTTGTAAAATAGTCTGCACACAATATGAATGATTGACCTTACTAAGCATTTGCTTAGAAACTCCTAATGACTGGGCACTGCCATATATATTTTGATAGTTCTAGGTTTACCTTGTACAGAAATAAAAACATAAGCATGTACTTTGAAGGGAAAAAAGCAAAACATGGTGTTCGTTTCCGTCTTAATTAATCTTCCCATTTTGAGGTAGTGACTTGCTCGTTAGCAAGATTAATCAGAACATGAACTAGAACTGACTTTGTTCTCCGTTGGCTCTCCCTTAGTACTTGCCGAATGGGTGTGTGGTAGCCGGTTTCCGAGACCATGTAGGCCGCACCGAATAAATCAAATGAGAAGCTTTTATTCGAAGCCAGGGACCGTGAGTCGGCTAGGTCTCAGGTCTCCGGGACCAGAGCACAGTTAACACTCAGCTTATAAAGCATGCAGGGGGAAGTTGATCAATCACTGGCACAATCATTTAATCAAGGCGGGAAGGCTTGAGGGAATTTCTAAAGTTTGCAGTCCTCAGGGTGAGATGTTCTTAGCCATTGTTGATTTCAAAACTGGTCGACTTCGTCAAGCGTAAGCAAAAATTATAGAAGCCAAATTCAGCCGGTTAGTTATGAACTACTAGGGAATTATTACAGGTAAAATCATTCTACTTGAGTGAATTAACGCAAAAAAAAAAGGAGATTTAGACTCTGTTAGAGGCTTACAGAGCTGTCATTCGCCTAAGGCAGTGGTTCTCATCCTGTAGTCTCGGCGACCCCTTTGGGGGTCGAACGACCCTTTTCACGGGGGTCGCCTAAGACCGTCGGAAAACATAGTTCCGAAGGTCTTGGGAACTGAGACACCGCTCCTCTCTCAGTCTCCAGGTAGGTCCGCCCACATGCAGACACCCCCACCTGCGAGCACCCGGAGTGAAGACTTACCCATGCTACTCCATGCTTCAAGGCAAAATGCCCTGGATTTGTCATTAGAAATAAACATTTCACAGTATATAATTACATACTATTTTTGTGATGAAACAACACTATGTTTTCATGATGTTCAATTTATAACAATGAAAATACATCCTGCCTATCAGGTATTGACATGACGATTCATCACAGTAGCAAAATGACACTGATGAAGTAGCAACGAACATAACTTTATGGTTGGGGGTCACCACCACGTGAGGAACGAAGGGTCGTGGCATCAGGAAGGGTGAGAACCACTGGCCGAAAACAAGCGTTGGGGCTCTTGAGGGCTTTCCAGCCCCCGGCCCCGCCCGCCCTCGTGGAGGCGTGGCCAACCAGGTCAAAGCTCGACCACCACCGGAGAGCGCAGGCGCGAAGACGCTGTGACGTAAGAGGGCGGGCGC